CATACACACACACACACACACGGCCGTTCCAAATGCCACCAGCATTTTCCTCCTCTGACCTTTTGTACCAGGCGTCAGACAACAGGGAAACACAAACATGGCCGCCTCCCCAGAGCAACACCATCATGACCCGAGACACAGAGACAGCCAGTGCAATAAGGACAGTTATTTGTATCTGCAGTCTCCACCCTGCTGTGTGTGTTTGAATACATGCCTGAATGAAAACGTATCCTTGTTTTTTCTGTTGGGGCACCGTGATCTTTAATCTATCTTTTAAATTAAAACACTTCTTAACTGATTGTCTCATTGTTTATCGCTATTGAACGTTCAATTTAAACATGATCTTTGGCTGTAAGTCATTAGCATTACATCTTATATAAGGGTTATAATGGTTAGCTAATGGCAGTGAGTCTGACAGGTAAAAACAAATGTGGAAAATCAGTGGTGTGTCACCCTGAAATGAAAAGCTGTGAAAAGAAACGGCACTTTAACATGAACCAACGAGTCTTCCTGCACTAAGTGCTCTGATTGGTTTCATTCAAACGGTGGTATTGTGTAGTCAAAATGCAATCTGTACTCTTTCACAGGAGTAAATTTAATGCGCTCATGTGTTCATGTCACGATAACATCATTAGCAGCATTCTTGCACTTTTTGTGCCTGCCCGGTCACAACAGCGAGGAGGTGCACAGAGAAGTTAATTTGCACGGTCTTGCAAAATGGATGATGCTGGAAGCTTTAGAGCTTTAGACGCAATACTTTTCTTAACTCAATGAGGACTGTAGGAGGGTTATCAACATTATTTCACATGTATTAAAAAGAAAAGAAACGTAGACAATAGCGTCTATTACATTGTTTCTGAAATCAAACACTTGAAATCCAAAATAATAAAGAATCAAATGATGAATAGATAAAAATAAAAAAAACAATCGGCAAACTACCACACACTGGGAATTACTCAATAACTACTTGTAACTATTCAATAACTGTATGTCAGTTTAGTGCCTAAGTGCATTCTTGGTTTCAAATCTCAGTCAGTTAATTCAAGCGAACATATTTGCATTATGGACCCCTGTCGCGTGGCTTATGCTGTGGTTTTATACATGTAAACTCGGATGATGCCACACACACATAATATGGCAGCTTCCTCTCTTTCGGGCTCCAAACTCGACAGTGTGAAGATGGTTTTGTTGTTCAACACTGGGAATTTGCTGCCATGCATCAGTGCAGAATGCATTTCTGCAAGGGAATCCACCAGCGACTCCACTGAGATCACTTGATTGAAGTTTCACTGGCCTTCGCCCTACTTGATGCATTTTTTTTTCACGAAGGAAGAGGAGTAACCATGTGAAGCAGCCGTACTCACAAGATGACAAAATGTAGCGAGAAGACACTGTTCGTTAAACAACAGCTCCCATAGAGGTTAGCGTAGATTTTGCTAGCACGTATTAGTTACATCAGAACTGAAAAATATTTCTTCTCTGAAAGAAGAGCAAAGAGGCTTTTCTTGATGGAGATGTTTTAGCTCATTCCAGTAATAACTTCCCAGATGGTTCTGTGTAACAAACCATCTGGCACAGTCAGGTTAGGACGAGAGTGCTCCTGTGTTGGTTGCACTCCATTCTGTCATGCTTACGTGGCTCCAACTGCCCGTGCTGTCCATTTTTCTACATCACAACAACTTGTGCGTTGACACTGGTGTCAGTCTTGTCTCCTGGCAGCGGTGGTAAACAGTCACACTCTGATAATTATGGGGGTTATGGGGAAAAGGGACTCAAACAAACTCATTGTGAAAATAGCCTTAGCCTCACATTTGGTCTACGTACTGTTTCAGAGGTTTTTCTACCTTGCAAAGAGGGGTTTTCTGGACTGTTAATTTTCATTCATGCAAAATAAAATACGAACAATTTCCGCACAAATATCGGGCATTAAATTAGAAATAAAATAAATAAATGTATAGATAAATCCCCAGAAATTATGAACATAATCGTCAAGATAGTGACATGAAATTGTTACCAACCTGCCACAAAGCAGACCCTCCAGAGGCCGGAGTGCAGAGCCATCTTGACCTCGGTGGTCTGGTTCTGCTGCAGGACGATCCCCTCCTCCATCAGCAGCCAGTAGTCTGTGGACACGGCGACGCCGACCAACAGCAGACCACAGGCCCCGAAAACCGACGAGAGCAGCGTCAGAGCCCTCGTACTGAATGAACTCATCTGTGGAGAAAGAGGGAAGCTCAAACAAAAGGCAGATCAGACGTGGGCTCAGCCTACGCACTAAAGAGGAGGAGAGGATATTCAGAAATGTGTTGGATTTAAATGAGTAAACATGAAGAAGGGACAACAGCACAGAGGAAAGTATTCTGTTTGTTTAAGGATTAGAGAGATGGAGGACTTCAAAAACAAAAAAACATGTCAAGATGCAAGAAAGAAGAGGTAATGGGGGACAGACAAAGATTGATTTAATTTATTGATTTTTACATTTTAAATTATGCACAAGCAAATCAGGGAGGTAAGAAAACAAGAGTGAGGAGCTTTTGATTTAAATCTTTCTTGACTTTCATTGACTCCAGCTTTTAAATATGTATGTAATATTGGACAGGAGAGCAGATGAAAGAAGAGAGGAGAGAACAACCTTGGACGTTTTCGTGTGGAAAATATCAAACTCCTATATCAACAAAATAATCCAGCTCTCCTCATCGTTTAAAGAATTAGTGCACTGAACAGCTCCTCACACCAATCCCGAGGACTTAAGATGTTTTTTCTTAACATATCAAGGGACAGAAAGCATAAGATGCCAGTAAAATTCAAGGACTGGCAGATAGAATAAACAGAAAATAAACAACAACGCAGAGAAGGAGGCCAAGAGATGATAAATGATGCTCTGAATTTAAGAAATACTGGGAATTTAAAAAAAAAAAACAGGCGTTGAGTCATCTTACGCCCAAAATTCAACAGAAAGTTTTGGAGGCGTAGAAGTTTTCAAATAACACCATAATGTAATGAATGCAAGAAAATGACATTATACGGTGGGCAGAAAAGTATATTTACTTCACACTGACTGACTCAAATATTTTAGTGTGAGTTTCATAATGCCTGCACCCAGACGATGATTGTTCTAATCAATCCTGCAGGAATCTTGGAAAATAACAAAAGCATCTTGTAAATCAGTTGAATCAGTGTGTAATCCCTTCCAGAGACATTGAAAAAAACTAAAATATTTGACAAGACAGAAAAAAAGAAAAACAGCTTGATTTCGACTGTGCCTGGAAGGTGAGAAAAACATATTAAAGATTGTACCAGCAGTAATGTTAAATATACAGAATTTACATTAAAAGGGCTAAATTATGAATGAATTTTGGAATGGTGATAGAATGTATTCAGTCTTTAAGAGTGCTTTTGGTCTTAAATTACAAAACATAACGGTTTTGGCCACGATCACAGAACTGGTGATCCTCTAATGAGCCCTTGCTGGTATCCAGCAGGCGAGACCAGTTTATCAGGCTTCCAGGTAACCTGCAGTGCAGTTTGACACTCACTAGGTGGCAGAAACGCTGCCTCTGCCATGCATCATTTCAGCTGTTGACACACTGAGAAGCATTCTCTCTCACACACGCACAAAAACACACACAGTGCCTCATCCATCCAGTCAAAATGGAGGTCACAGTCACCATGCTGTGGTCTCTTAAGTGAAGCAAGCGTGAAACATCAGACTTCTGTAGTGCTAACCAAAAACTGTAAACACAGGTAGACTGAACAAAAACAAGCATGGGTCCCACTAAATCCAAAGCTCTTCTAGCAGACCTTTATTTTTGTATATTTTGTCTGACATTTGTGTCCAATGAAACTATTTTCACCTGAATAAATTACTTGACAGTCATATAACCTGCCTGTCTGTGCTGCGAGTCTACAATTATAATAACAGCCAGGCCACATGGAGTTCAAATCACCTGCAGCCGCAGCACAAACTATTAATCAAAGCTGAAGTTGGACCATGTTAATACAGTTCGATAAAACATGCCGTGGGTTTAATGTGCATTTTAAAAATACAAATTGTCTGCAGTGCTGAGAGTAAACACAATTTATGGAAATACTGACACATATAAAGTTTGAGATATTAATGGACAAGCCCACCACACATGGCGACAAATAGGTTGTCAAGATATATTATCAATATCATTTGGTACCCTAAGATGTGGTTGAATTAGTTGTTTTCTATTTTTTGTTTTTTGGTTAAGGTTTTTGGGAGGCTTTATCTGACTTTACGGTTTCAACATCTGTAGACACTTTAAAATTGAAATTCTAAGACATTTAAACATTGCTTTCTTATCCTGTATTTTATTCCATCTTTTCTGTCTTTTATGACAGAAATCTTTGCTTTTATAAATGCCATTGTTTTCATTTGGTTTGAATCTTTTACATGAATTGTTCTATAGACATAACCACTATGATCTCCAGGCAGCACACACTTACATTATAACATTATGTAACTTCAGTTGTCCAAGAGATGTTCAGCTTCAAAAAGAGACAGCACAGGAAAATTATACAGGGGGCTTGGCATGACTACATAGTGTGTGATGTGGGAGGTAACACCGGCCAGAGTGACCACAGCTCAGTGTAGCAGGAAAAAAGTCAGTTAACTGAAAAGAGCTAACTGAGCTAACCAGCCATGAGCAGCTGCTGTCAGACTCTCCATATCTGCACCGGAAACAGAGAGTCTGCTAAAGCTTCGTCACTAGAAGCACATCCACAGCTGTTTGTAAAAGTTTCTGTATGGTGCGTATGTTGTCACACAAGCAAAGGTAGCGGATCAGAGAGGATAACTCTCTACTGGGCAGGGGGAGGGGGGAGTTAGTTGGTGATGAAAGCTGCCACCATACAACACCTGCCTCAAGATCAGCCATAAGCTAAAATCAATTGCAGTAGCTCAAGGGATGTTGCTATGCAAATTTATAAGACATTAAAATGTCATCATTTGGACCTGAAGCATTCAACAACACTGCTACCCAAATATATACAGTAGCTGAAAAAAGTTTAGTTTAGGAGTTTAGTTACTCAAGACAGAGCACACAAGTCACACAAGTTACTCACTTGAACTGAAATCAGGTGCTTCAGGTTATAAGTTAGGCTGATGATATAATTTTGTAAAGAAGCCAACCTGCTATGTTTGCAGGGCATTAACAAATTAACATTTTTTTTTTTTACAATTGCCTTTATAAAATAATATTTACAGTTAAACTCCTCCTCATGTTTTACTACCAATACCTGACATTCAAAACATGATTTTGAAGGAGGTTCAGTGACTTGTAAAACCTTGTTTATGAGGCTGAGAAAGAGAGGAGCGAAGCCGAGAGAGAGAACAAAAGAGAACAGCCGAGAACAAAATGAACCCGACAGACAAGATCAGAACCGAAGAAATAAGAAGCAAAAAGAAAGTCGCTGTCAGGCAGGAAGAGAGTGAGGAGTGACCTCATCACTCAAGCGAAACGCTGCAGAGCACATTCAGCGGTGTCAGAGAGGATTCGCTCACTCAGACATGAGTCACACGTTACAAATATTTGATATGGTAAAACACCCCTCGCCTCGGGTGAACCCATCCAATCGACATCCCCCACAGAGATAATGGCAGACATGTCAGGTATGCAGTGCAGTACGTGCAAATACTCAAGTGTGCACATGTGACCAAAACAAAACACATGAAAAACAGCATACATACACATACAACACACAAAGTAGAGACCCAGAGGAGGCTTGATCGCTGGCTGAAGGTCTTGAAAATAGTTGAGCTTTGTGGTATGACCTCGACCAAGAACCATGTATGTGTCTCAAATACCTGAGCTTGTAGATAAGTTATAAATATTCAAAACTTATGGGTGTATGTGTGTTTGTGGACAGTTCAACTTGTATTATTTTTTCAGGCAATGCATGAATTTTAAAGCAGGGCCTACAGCTCAATACAATCCCTGAAATATATCAAAACTGCAGCAGAACCACGTTTTATTGTACGTTGGCTTGTCTTAAAAGTACAGGAAGAAGGAGGCAAGAGAAAGCGGTGGGACTTTCTCCTGTCCGCAGAGTCAACCACGAAGACGTCACTGAAAGACGTCCGACACTTCAAGACGTCAGTACCTCAGAAAGTCACATCCTCTGAATAAGACAAAGATGATTTGTGCTTGGCTCGTGTAAATAAGCATCAGTCTTAGTGCTGGAAATGTCAGGCTCAACAGGAGAGGCAGTCAGACGCTCAGCGCTGCTGAGTCAAAACACACAAATCCATCCTCCACTTAGAGCAGAAGAGACAGAGCTGAGTACCTGCAGGACTCAGATAACTGTCACACCCGTGGGCTTTCAGATAGCTTAATTCATGCTGTTTCTCTTGACTAAAACATACATAGTATAATAACTTTCAGACTTATGAAAGGGCACTACGGATGAAGGAGATTCTCTTTGAATTGTTCAATTTGGAGATCCAGTTGTTTATATAACTCCTTTGCTTCTCTGAAAGGCACAAACTGTAACTTGCTGCCCTACAAAAGGCAGAGTTATTGCAGTAACAGTGACTTTGAGAAGAAAATGGTTGAAATTTTTCAGGCTGCAAACTCTGGAATACATAAGAAGGTTGTAATGTCTTTTTTTAAAGCTTAAGCGGTCTGTTCCAATCAAATCAAAGGCATATAATTTATGTAGGCTACTTACAAATACTATAGTCTATGGATTATCGAAAGGGATTGTAAGAAGAAAATACAGTAGGCCTATCCTCAAACACTCGGTTTAGTGGATTAAAAAACTAAATTAGATTTGGTTAATCAAAATAATACTTTTCAATTACAGATAACAGCTATAGGGAAAAAATAAGTGACATCAGTGCACATTTAGTTTTAGCTCTAGGCTAACCGTGGCTAGCACACCACTGCAGATGGTTTGACTTTGCCTCAATCTTTTCTACACGTGGGGAACCGTGTTATCTGTAAAATATGTTGGGTTTCCGATGGATCAGCGCAATATCTGCATCCCCCAAAATAAATCTTTCCAGTTTTAGTCATGCTTATATTTTAGTCTTACAGCTGTGGCTTTAAACTGAAAGACGGAAGTCTGAAGAAAATGTGGGTTTGGAGGACAAGAGCTGTTGCAGTGGGTCAGTGCATCAAATATTAGAGAGCTCTCTCTCTCTCTCTCTCTCACACTCACACACACATAC